GTGTGTGTGTGTGTGTGTGTGTGTGTGTGTGTATGCATATATGCACATATTAAATCTATAAATGTCAAGAATAGTACATATACCATATAGAGATAGTAATTTATTTCAATGCCATGGCACTTGTTTCAACTTCATTGACCTCTAGAGCCATTTCGCACACAATAATAAAGACTATGAACATTTTAGAAAACTTTATAAATAAAAACAGAAACTTTGAGATTTTTGTTTTCAAATAAATTCCTATACTATTTATTAAGCTAATGTCTCTAAACTTTAAACCCACCCTTCTATAATCCACTTTGTGGAGCTGGGATTTGAATTGGCAGCCATACTTTGCGCTGGCTTCTTGTTTGTCTCTGCCAAGAGCAGACACGAGGCTGAGAGTGGGAGGCTGGAAGGGCACAAAGGGGCGGCTTCATCCCCCTTGCTTTCTGAGTCTGTCTTTCTGATTGTTCTCTCTGTGCAGCCTATAAACACTTTTTCATGCTGCATGCAGTAGCAGATGCTGATGCCAGTTTTTAGTCATTCCAGTGCGCATAGAACCAATCCCAGGGTCCCTCCTCAGTGACGTCAGCACTAGCGGGCCAGAGCAGCGTTCTCAAAGGTTTGCTTCATGGCCAACTCCTTTGAGTGCAGACTGAGATGGCAGCACCAGCACAACGGCGAGCCTCTACAGCACTTCCTACAAACCTGCAGGTTTTATTATCTCGACCTCTTCTCTGTTTCCCCAGTCTGAGGGGAGGCCGCTTTCTGCAGTTCCCACATCCACGATACCTTACTTTAGTGTTCAGCTTTAGGATTTGCAGTTCTTCAATATCTAGTCATCAATTCTTTATCAACTGATTCTCCGATGGGCTAAATCTTTTTTTTTTTTGTAGGGGGGGTTACAGATTTATAAAGTTTTACCCAAAGGGGCCTCTACTACTTCATCTTTTTCTGCATCCTTATAATTGTGTTTATTCACTGTTTTTCTTCACTGTTCAGATACCATATTGGATTCCATAACTTTAAATAATTAGATGCTTTTGTTTGTAATTCTTGACCCACATCATTACAATATTTAAAGCAATTCTAACCCCAAATCTCTGTGCTGGGATAGCTGACTATATACAATAGTTTTCAACCATTTCCTTGTATTTTAGTACATTCAGTCATGTACAAATTTGTCCAGGCTCTGAAGTCATGGCTTTGACATTAAGATGTTCCCAAGGGAACTATAGCTAGAAAGAGGGAAGGCACCAAGTGTGGGAAAAAGAGGGGACAGTGATTTCTTTTTGTAAATAGAGAGACAGCAGGGTGTCAGCGGTGACAAGGAAAGAACTGAAGGTGATGGTGACAGTGATGTCTGAGAGGATGACATATTTCTTGGTTATCTTTGTAAGTAAATGGAAAAGGAGGGCTTTAGGGTGTGACATTGTGCATTATGACAGATGAGGACATGATGACTCTTCCAGAGTGTCTAGACTGACCCAGACCTTTTAACATGGGACTACCCGGGATTCATTTCAAGAAGATAGAAAACACTCAAGAAGGGTTAAGGACCTGTCCTCAAAGACTAACTGAATGAATTCAAACCCAAAGGGAAAAACGCCTTCCAAATTCATTTTGCAAGCTTTCAAAAATGTTATTTAAAGCTAAAAAGCAGAAGGAACAAGATTACAGTCAGATAAATTTTGTGAAATATTTGCAGAAAGAATTGGGATGAGTGAGGAGGAAAAAGAAGGACTGCAAGATTTGCTACCTGAGGGGTATAATTATACCTGTAGCATGTTTCCCAAGAATGTTTCAATCTTTAAGCATTTTGCTTCTGTGCTTTCAAACACCAGTATAGATATAGTCTCCTAAGTGCGTGATCCAGAGGAACTGTGAGATGTATCACTGATTCCCAGCTGCCCTATTTTTATAGCTATCTATAGCTATGTAATTGACAATAAACTATTTTATAAATGTCAGCCACTTCTCACAAGTTTTAAATGGCTTGCTTTATACCTGTGAATCACTTAGAGAAGTTACTTTAATTTTTTAACCCTTAGTTGCAGCAATCAGAGAAAGTTTGATTTTTTGTAAAACTTCTTTCAAAGAATATTTTGTTTTTGTTCATTTTAAGGTTTTATTTATTTTTAGATAGAGGTGGAAGGGAAGGAGAAAGAAAGGGAGAGAAACATCAATGTGTGGTTGCCTCTTGTGTGCCCCCTACTGAGGACCTGGCCTGAAACTCAGGCATGTGCCCTGACTGGGAATTGAACTGGTGACCTTATGGTTAGCAGGTCATTGCTCAATCCACTGAGCCACACCAGCCAGGGTTCAAAGAATGTTTTAATTGAATATGGCCACGTACTTCTTAAATTGGAGCTTTGTGAGTAGGTAAAATAACATTTTTTGTTTTAAATTTATAAATGACAGTAGACTACTCAATCCATCTTGCAGACCTGGAATAGAGTTCTAGACACTCTACGTAGGGTACCCCTACGTAGCAACCAGTTGGGGGACCTTTTATTTCTTAATTGGTGTAACGACAATAGAAGGAAAATTCTGATGCTGAAAACATCCATCTCTCATTCATGAATGAAAATAGGGTATTCTCAGTCAGCTACCCAAGATACCACTAAGTTGAAGCACACCTACTGTGATAAGCCCAAAGAACCAAGGGCTGACCTAAATGGATGGAAGCAATGAGGAAGAACATATTGAAAAAGGTGAGTTTAGAAAGACAGGAAAAGAATTTAGTGATAGTAAGGGAGCAGAAAAGAATCTGATGAATGGAAGCAAGTTACATAAGTTTGCTTCATATGAGCTGAGTTGACAAATTATAGTAAGAACATTCAGCAAATGTACCATCCCCTGGAGAGACAAAATATATTTAGAACAGTGCCTATTTACAACAATTTTGATATGTTTTCATTCATTTATTCAGTAAAGATTTATTGAGCACCTACTACTGTCATTTGTTTTTGTCTTAGTTGTTTAGCTGGTGAGTAGGTATGTATATATAGATTAACAACATGTAATACTCCTTTAAATGAATATATTGAATTTGAAGTTGCTTATCTTCTTTTGCCTCTCTTTGGAACAGTACTGTGGCTCCCAGACCTATCTCACTAGTCTTTTCCACCCTGTTAAGTTTGTTGTTATGCCTATTTCACAGGAGGGAAGTGGGGCACGCAGGTGTTTGGTGATGCACCAAAGCTCACACATCCAGACACTGAACCCAGCTCTGTTTGATTTTCAAAGTACTCCTAACTGCTATTCCAGCTGCCTGCCCAGTTTTGGTAATAGGCTCTGAAAGATTGTGGGTCACTGCCAGCAAGTTTACTTGAATAATCTATAGTATATAGTACCGAAAAATAAATGTTAAGGGGGTATTTAATAAAAACAGAAGACTGCCATTATTGAATTCAGAAGTGACAAAATAAAAACAATAGTGGCAAAAGAGGATTCTAGACTTCTTTATTTAAAGATAGGAATTGAAAACAAGTAGAAGTGTTTTTGATTGTTTTCTAAAAGGCACGCCAGCACAAGTCATAGCAGGAGATGGAGCAAGGTGAGGTTCAAGGACATTCGAAGGAAGAGTCAACCAAAGTTGGAAGGTGAATGTGAGGAGAGAAGGTGATGAGTTAAAAATCATCACCTTAAATGAAAGAGTTAAAAATCATTCCTTAGGTGGAAAGCTTAGGAAACCAGGGATCGTAAATATACTGTGATTGATTACAAAAAAGGGAATGAAGTGGTTCTTTTGAGTATGGTGAGAATATGCATTTGATAGTCAGTATTCATATAAATAGGAGCTGCATTGTATATTTAGAGTAAAATTCTATGGCATTCTCTTCAGTTTGTCTCCACCTCCCATTGAAACTTTGTATTCCCCACTAGAACAAAAGACCAAAACACTTCTAAAGGAAGAGATCATTTGGGAAGACTGGGCTAGAAAGCCAGTTGAGCTTGGTGTTGATAGCTTTACAATGCTTTGGTTAAACCAGAGATCTATTTTCAGCAGCCCTGCACAAAGACTGTGAAAGTTGTTGTCTCTTGTCATTGCCTCATAAGTTAGATAACAGGGTCTTACTGTCCTTCCTGCCTGCCTTTCCTCCTCCCTCCTTCCCATTTTGGTTGTGGGTAAAATTCACAGTACATGTGCTTGCATCACTGTGATTGATTTCTCAAGATATTGAATAATGATTTTAGTGCGGTAATAGGCTCTGAAAAATAGAACAGGTCTTAATTTGGGGTATAGTTTATGTAGATTTATCCCTAACTGATCCTGATAAATATCTCCCCTTGAGTCCCCACCCTGTTTGTTCAGAGAATCATTTGTTCTGGCTTTATATTCAATAAATGAGTCACCAAAGTGTCTCAGCACATGGTAGACATCATTTATATATGGATGTTTTCTACCAGTGGAGTCTGCTTTATGCTAGGCAAATATTTCCTTATTAATTCAATCCAAACGAGCTTCTCAAAATTATATATTTTTGTAAATGTGCGTGCATGTTTCCATCACTAACTTACAAAACTTTATTCCACTTTAAAAAGTTAATTATATTTCAACCTTTAAAGTAATTAAATTGTCAGAATTTTTCCAATTCACTCATTTCTTGTCCTGAAAGAAAAAGCAATTATCTCAATGTTCTAAGGCTTATATTTATCACATACAACCTTCCTACACCTTCCTAACAAGCAACAAAAAAAAAATGAAGGAACAAACTTGAGAGAGAGAGAGAATAACAACTATAGGCACCAAAGTCTGATTTGATTTCATGATAACAGGATAGAACACATTTTAACACATGTATGGCATTGCATACATGGCGCTACATCTTTAAGAGTCTGAATAGGCAACAGAAAAAATACAAATTTATTGAACAAATTTTCTCGCAAATATATCATATGGTTTCTTTGTAAAATTTTATGGCTTGCCACAGAGATATACTTCTTCAATGAGATTCTGTAAAAAGAAAGAGATATCAGCAGGAGTTACACTACAGCTGTCACTTCATACTTACAGCAACGGCCTCCAGGATTTGCTTAACAGCATCTGCAGCATCTCGTTCGCTGTAATATCCCTTTTCCACAATCCTAAAAACAAAAAATCAAAAACATAAAAAACAAAACATGAAATGCTTCTCAGGCACATGCATTCAATTGAGTGGATACTAAAAGAGGTTAATTAAATGAGTGTTAAACAGGCCACATTACACCAAGAATAAGACTTCCATAAACTGGCACTCTAGAAATCTTTTGGTTTATTTAGGAAAATTAAAGAATTTATTTTCTATTAACATTATATAAAGAAATGAAAATAAATAAACCTCAATCAGTCATAAAAATATAAGTCAATTAAAATAAAATTATTTATTTTGCTTAGGCTAGAAGTGTTTATTCTTTTAGGACAAAAATTCTTTATTTTTTAAACTTTGTATTTTGAATCATTTTAAATATATACAAATTAGACAATATGCCATAAACCATTCCATATTATTGCCACACAGCTTCAAAAGTTATTAATTCCTGACCAATGTGGTTTTATCTATTCAATTAATTACATCCCCTCCTTTGTGACTTTGAAGCAAATATCAGATATCATATAATTTCTTCTTTTATTTTTTAAAATTTATCTTTAGAGGTGAAGGGAAGGAGAGAGGGAGAGAAACCACAAGAGTGGTTGCCTCTTGTGCGTCCCCTGCTGGGAACAGGCCTGCAACCCAGGCATGTGCCCTGACTGGGAATCGAACTGCGATCCCTTAGTTTTCAGGCCCATGCTCAATCCACTGATCTACACCAGCCAGGGCAGATATCATATAATTTCATTCATAAGTATTTAGGATATCTAAATGATAAAGGGTCTTTTAAAATCATAACTACAATGTCATTATATCTATAAATTACAATAATTTTTTAATATCTAAAATGCAGTGTTTCAAATTTCCAATTGTCTTGGACATGGTAAAATTTGTCATTTGTTTGAATCCGTGTCCAAATAAGTTCTCTTTCCCTCTCTGCCTTTCTCCTCACTCCCTCTTTCCTCCATCTGGTGTTCTTTGCCAAATAAATGGCTTGCTCTTTTTGCATAAATGAGGGGAAATCATTTTTCTTTCAAGTTAAGGGCTTTTTCTTTTTAATTTCAGGAATGTTTTCCTAAATTAGAATGCTTTATATTTATTTTCTTCCACTGCTTTAGTTTTCTTATTCAGTTTGTGAGGTTATACACACATAAGAGTTTTCAACTTTTGATTTACACTGCTCTTCTATGACTTTCTTTAAGTTTATTTTGCAGTATTAAGGTATAGTTTAATCAATTTGTGGGCACATCCTCCTGGTACACTTTCACTACCTGAATGAATCTTATTTTGTTTCTTATTTTCTGTGCTCTATTATTATTTTATATTGGAACTGAGACATCTCTCTGTTGCTGCTTATTTTTAAGGCAAATTGGTTTTCTTTTTTAAGATTAAAATATAATTGACATACAATATTATATTAGTTTTAGGTGTACAACATAGTGATTTGACATTTATAGTCATTATGATGTGATCACCACAATAAGTCTAGTTAACCATTTGTCACTGTGCAAAGTAATTTCAATAATATTGACTGTTTTCCCTATGCTGTACATTACATCCCTGTGACTTACTTTATTTTTTATAATGGGAGGTTTGTACCTTCATTCTTTTGACAGAGTGATGGGCCAGGATATCTTTTCTAGTTTCATGGCCCTCAGCCTTCTGTTTTGTTTGTTTCATGAAGCATTAAAAATATGACTTCATACTTTCTGAGATCTCCTCTACCTGGAAATTCATTCCCTTGCTTCTACCATCTTTGCTTTGAATATTGGAGTCTCTTTCTAGCAGTTGCGCCTAAATATGGGGCTTTTCCCTCAAGGGGCTTCAGGTATTAGTTTCAGGAGTCCACAGGGCGTTGAATGCCTTAGTTGCCTCAGACCTCACAGTGAGCACGGCCTTTGCAGGTCTCAGGAATTTGGGTGGCAAAAGCCCTCATGATTTCAGCTGTTTTTCTTGTATTGGCCCCTCCTGCCTCCCAACGATTTGGAGATCTTAGAGATGAGTGTTCTTGATTCTTAGGTTCATCGCATGTCTTCTTGCTTCCCTTTGCTCCCTCTTTCAGAGAGGCTGACACCACGTGGCTTTTGGAATTGTCATCAGTTTGTCCTCACTCACTTGTATTTAAGGCTTCATGGGGCTACCTGGTCACCTAGTTTTGTTACATTGTCTGTGAGTTTTCACTTTTTCTGTCCTAGTTTCTGTCCATTCCTAAAGGAATATTTGGGAAGAATAGAAAACTACTTTTTTTGCTATTTCTATCTTACTGAAATTTCAAGAGAAAAGATGTTATAGATAGCACTGTTGCCAATTTGCATAAGATGTTTTCAACTAATAAAAAGTTTGTGGTAAAGATGTGTGAAAAAGGTCAATTCAAAATGTAAAAGAGACAACACTTCAACAACTTTCATAATTTTGCATTGAAATTTTTTCTTTAATGTTAACTCATCAAAAACATACATGTTTTTCCAGAAGTATTTTTCCTTTTTGGAAAAAATATTTTAGCAAGAAGTTGTAAGTTCTAAAAGTAGCTGGAGTTAAAAGTTGAATTGAAAAATTGTAAAATGTCTTCACAATAGGGAATAAAGATTGAGGAATGCAGAATGGAACAGAAATCACAAAAATAAGCTCTGGCTGGTGTGGCTCAGTGGATTGAGTACTGCCCTGAGAACCGAAGGGTCACCTGTTCGATTCCCAGTCAGGGCACATGCCTAGGTTGCAGGTTTGATCTCTTGACTGGGCACACACAGGAGACAACTGATCACTATTTCTCTCTCACATCTGTGTTTCTCACATCAATGTTTTTTCTCTCTCTTTCCCTCCCCCTCCCTCTCGATCTCTCTCTAAAATCAATAAACATATCCTTGAGTGAGGATTAAAAAAAGAAAGATGAAAGAAAAGCAGAAAAGGGAAGGGAAGGGAAGAAAAGGGAAGGAAAAAAGGACCAAGGACTATAGTGCAAATTAGAGCATGATGGTGGGGTATGATGATCAATCAGTATTTGTCTCATGTGAGCTAATACTTGCTGCACATATATAAAGAATAAGATTTGGATCTTGTCCATATGAGACCACAGATAGTGGAGAAGTTATTAACAAAAGCATCATCATATATGTAATACACATTATGTTAAGGTTTGTACAGCCAAAGGGTTTATTCATTGTGTTGGCAGAACTGTCCCTAGAGGAGACGTGTGGGTCAGGGGCACAGAATGCGGGCCCCTTCCCGGCCGCATCTCGGTGTGAACTCTGCACACCACAGCTTGGCCCTATGGTCAGAGTTCCACGGCTTCTCTCCCAGGCTCCTTCTTCTGAAAGTTTTGTTCCCTGTTGACGTGCTCACCAGAGTGTCACAGAGTTAGGTTTCTGGCACTCAGACACTCAATTTTAAATATTTTATAAGTTGAGCTGCCCCTCAGGCCATCTGTGACTGACTAGAAAGATCAGTAACAGTGAACGTCTCAAGGTGCAAACGCAAGTTTATAACTTACAGCTTAGATTGTCAGTGAAGATACTAGTGATCAAGCAAAGGAAAACAAAGTTTAGCAATCTTTTTCTCTTCCTTTCAGTAGCACGGCTACAGGAGATGTGTGGAGTCAATGCCTTTTGCAGGGTGTGGTGGCGAAATTCTTAGCTTCTCATTGGATTGTTGCTTTGATCACTCACAGAGTCCAGCTCCAAGCCTTTCTTGTAGCAGGCAGTCAATAAATATTTGTGGAATCAATACTAATAACCAAGTAAATGATGCCAAAAAATTTCAGACTTTGGACACCTGAACAACTCCTTTACCCGTGTTCCTTATGCTAGGCAAGAAAAGCACTCAAGGAAGTGATGCTCATTGCAAGTACAAGGGGGACCTCAAAACACCCTGGAATTCTTTTATTAAAAAGTGTGTGTCTATTCTTACATGTTTCAACTTCAATCACCTTCAAAGTGCTCTCCATTTGATGCAATACACGTATTGGGATGTTTTTTCACTGCTCAGAACAGTTTTTGAACTCATTGATTTTGGAGCCTTTTAGTGCTTCTGTCGTCTTTTTGTTTCACCTCTTCCACATCCCTTTGAGGACTTCTTTCATCCGGAGAAACAAACAAAAAAAGTTGCTGGGGTGAGATCGGATGAATAGGGAGGGTGGGGCATCAGGGTCATGACATTTTTAGCCAAAAACTGCTGAACACTCAGCATGGTGCAGGCAGGTGCACTTGTGAATCACTAATCATGAAATGGGCAAACACACTGAAAGAGTCTTCAAAAAAAATTCACCAAAACTAATCACAGCCTCTCACAATATGCCCGCTGGTGCACTGACTGATACAGAAGGGTTCCTAGAACACTCACCTCGCAGGGGAAGCCTGTACTACAAGAGGCCCGTCCTCCAGAAGATAATTCCAGGTTTTTGGGGGGCCCTTCTCGTACACTGGCCATGGATCCTGTGGGAGAACAGCCACAGAGATGCTTCCCAAGGCCAAATGCAGTAGGTGGAAGGGCTGCTGCTGGCCTCAGGAAGAAACTCAGTTACCTAGTTTCTAGATAACATTGTAATAACATGAATTGTCTTAGAAACTTGTTTTGGACAAAATCAAAGTGATTCAAATTTATCAAAATAGAATAGTATTTGTTCCAAGCAACACAAGTTCCTCCCTAAAATTTAGCTATAATTTAAAAAAATTACCAATGAAATTGAACTATGCATATACAGTCAAGGGTTTAGGTCTTCAGTTTTTAGAAGCAATAAAATGTTCAATCCTGGTCGTGTTTTCAGAGCTGTAAAAACACAGGGATATTTTTTCACTGGTATTTTTGGTTCTTTATTTAAACATACTTATGGCTATATTTCTCTTCAGATTTAATAAACTGATTTCCTTTTCATGCTTTGTAACACAATAAAGAAGGCAGCTGCAATGCTACCGGCATTTTAAGATCACTTCCAAAGGCCCCGGGCCATGTAGTTTGTTGCTATGCCACATAATTGCCCGTAGTTCTAGGAGGGCTGGGCTAGAAGACTCAGTGATAACAACT